AAGTTAATAAGGAACGACTTTAGCTCGCGCACGTGACAAAATTAAATTATTAAATGCATTTGGTTTTTTTTTTTGTATTTAACAACATAATGTTAAACGCATAATAATTTATTTATGTATTTTTAATGTACATCCAGTTTTACGAATTCAGGGGATACGATCGGATTATTTTAATGCAACAGATTAATTTTCAGGTTAATAGTGGAAAGTGCTGATGGGTACTGTTTATAAATCCCCATATATTCTACCGCAAATGAACACATTCGACGATCACGTTCTACTAAAACCCGCACGTGCAGCTCCGCAAACATCTCGATATTACAACGTCGCAACATACGAGTGAAATAAACATATGTTGAAACCAATCTAGCGGGAATATGATTTTCAGCAATCGATAGGAAAATCGCTAGTGGAATCGCTCGATTTCGCGTAACGTCGAGGACGTGTAACGTACAAGCGCGGTCGTCGCGGTGGCGGCAAACTTTGGGGCGAGTTATTAATTTAATTATGTATGCGAAATTCAATTCTCTCTCTCGTTAAAATGCTCGCTAAATATTAATCGACCGAACGTCAAACGCCGTCGAATTATCGTTGACTAGCGGGAGGAGGGCAATTAAGTGGCCAAATATTATTCCATCGTAAACATATTGGGCACGTGTATCCTGTCGACCGTCGCATATGACGGGAAGAATGTCGAATGTTGAAATTACATAAATACTTTTTCGAGAATAGGTTTCATTTTTCAATCAAATGTTGGATCTAACATGAAAAATGTGATGAAATAATAACCCATCGAAACGTAAGAGAATGTACATTTGACATTTTGAATTTTGAATTGAATGTCAATTGCTAAGACGAGCACGAATGAGAAGAAACAGTGAAAAACAATGTGTTATTCCATGTAAGTAAAGACGTGGAAATCAGGATGTCAGTCGGAAGTTTCCGAGATTCGGCTCTGAACCCAGCAGATGCCGCCTGCTCTCGGAGAAAAGCTAAAAGGACCAGTGATTTTACATTAAAAAAAAACCACAAGAACAAGTTGTATTGCGACAAGACAAATATTAAAAAATTTATGCCTATATACAAATGTGACATGAAACTAATTATCTGAGAGGAAAAGAAAGCTTTAGGATTAACATTAGGCGTTGGTGGAACAATTTTGTGATGAATATTATTTGCATAAAATTAAACATTTTCTTCGTTTGACTGTGAAAATTTCAAATTCGTGAAATTTAATCTTATAAAAATTCTTATTTCTTTTTCAAAAATTATTTTTGTTTAATTGTTTTTGTATATAAAAAATTCCATATATATTTAGAGTATTGCTTTAATTTGCATGTTATTTTATGCTACAGAATCATCATAATCATAACATTGCAGATAATTTGCAGTTGTATATCGATTAGTGAATACACAATAAATAATCTTTTAACGAAAGAATAAATCAATAAAAACCTTATCAAGTATATATATCAATGTTATTGCAATTAATTGTTAAATATAAGGCTTCATGAACTTTTATCTTAAAATGAATATGCTATAATAAAAACTATTTTATTTCGAACGTGTAATGATAAATGAAAAATACAATATAAAATGTATTTACTCAGAGTTGTACAGAGTTGTTAAAATTAATTCTTAGCGTGATATCATTATCACAATATATTATTATCACATATTGAAAGGATTGCAATATGATACACGAAGATATATATTTCACTTATCACAAGGTATAATCCGAAATATAGTTGCTCAAAATGTGTTGAATTGCGAAAATCATAATAATTCAGACTGGAACGTTGAAATCCCCGGCGGCATTAAGTTGAAATAAGAGGGACGACGAGGAAGAAATATAAATGTAAATATTAATACAGAGAGAGTTGGGCTACTATATGGGTCTTAAGAGTCGAGGGGAGACTTCCTCCACGAGCTTGCTTCCTAGCCTCTTTCGTTCGCTCAAATATTTAATGGATTCGGCTAGATCCACTCTTAGCTTTAGGTATATTCGTGTAACTTTCTTATATGTGTAGGTTGAGTCCGTGTACCGTCCAATTTATATACGCACATATACACATATACACGTATATGCTTACGTGATTCTGCACACGAAAACTCAAAACTATATTCTCAAGAATCGGAATTGATTTATATTTTTGTCTGATAAAATTACTTTTGCAATCAGGTAGAACACATTTTTTTAATAAAATTATATGAAACGAAATATGTTTCGCAAAACGGGAGAATATCATGTTTAAATATATTATGGAAGGAACAAGATAAAATACATTTTTAAGTTTCAAGAATTTCACAATAAAACTTTTATTGATTTATAGTTGAAAAGGTAGAGAAATAAAATTCAGTTAGAGATCTAGAATTATATAAAATTGAGGATACTCTTTTACTTTATATTGGTACTGAAATTCATCCAGTACCAATTATTACTATTTTAAAATTTTCAATCAATGCAAGCGTTTATTTAGTTTAGATCTCAAGTAGAAATTGAAACAGTAAACATATTTATCGCAAATTCATGCAATATTCATTGATCATTCTAGAATTAGGATAATCTTAACTTGTTCAAATATTTAAATCAACAATTCCTAAATTATAACGCTTTCCATTAATCATGTGTCGTGTCCATTAATCACTATTGCACGCTATGCGGATTGTTTTCGTGGCTAAAGGTCGCATCTCGCATGTCGAATGTCGTCGTATCGACGAACTGTCAATATTAGATCACTCGACGAAACTCGCGAAACATTTGTTTGTGTGCGAGCTCGAGGGAAGCGCAGTTCCATGAAGGAAAAAGCAAAGGAAACGAACGAAAAACGGTCTTTAGCTATTTGCAATCGGCTCGCGGGCGAGTCCCGCGGGTGTGTTCCGCTGAGTTCGACGGAGAGTTAATTAATCCCGCGGTATAATTAAAGCCCCGCCGTTTCGTCGAGCATCGCGGAGGAAGGGACGAAGAGTGGCCCGCGTTCACTGGAAGTTAAACTGTACGAAGATCAAATTGTGAATCCGAGGCTGCGAACTGTCCGGGACTCGCCAGAGGGTGGAAAGGAAGTGGACTCTGCGACATGACAGGGGTAGCCGGGGACCGATTTAATTAAATTCTAACGCTTTCCGAGAACGCGCGCGAACGAGAGCGGCGTCGATCGTGCACCGATACCTCTGACGTTTCCTCCCAGGATCATTGCACGAGAAATTAACGTGATTTGGATCGACGAGCGAGGTCGTTCGAAATTATTTCTTTCGTTGTTACGTCACCTCCTTTTTTTCGTGTGTCGAGCTAAAGCTCAGCGACGATATTGCGTTTCTGAGCGAGACCAGGACTTGGGGGAAACACACGCGAATACAAGGGGCAGAGGAAGATGGAGAGTGTTATGGCGGAATTTCATGGCTCCAAGTGGATTGAAAGTTTTTGATGTTATTGGACGCCGAACGTCAATTTCATCGTTGTGTTCGAATCGCGGCCGTTAATCGTTAACTCTGTTGTCGCCACATCAATAGCAAGCTCGATAGAATTGTGGGTGACAAAGGTATCCGATATTATTTCAAAATTATACCGTAAATCCGATTCATTTCACGTCGCGGAACAAACGCTGTGAAAATATCTGCGTTTCTACGAAGAAACTCTGTTCCCGATTTTTCCGCGTTACGCAACAGGCATAAATATAAGATGGATTGCCTATTTTTACTTCTCTGCGTCATACAATCCTCGTGAATAAATCATCATCTCTTCGCAAACGCTATATTTCGTATCGGCTTAAAACTGAAAATCTCCTTTCTATTTCATATTTTATTTTTATACTTTGATATAATGTTATTATTGCTGCAAAACTAGTTTTTGTCAGTGTATATGTTTTCATAATATAATTAAATAATATATATATATATATATATATAGATTTAAATAATAAATTATCCAAAAATCTAAATTAATTTATTAGTTATTTAATACAAGATAAATTTATTTCAAACACAATAGATGTCGCGCGAGTGTTCATTGTAAAATAAAACATTACGCGTCTGTCTACTCTGCTATTCGTGCAAAAATATTGTGCATATTTAAAATATGCGGTGCGTGTGTTTGCACAAAAGATTTATTGTCCATTCTACTATATCTCTGAAAATTCACAAATTACAAGGATATACATATCATAAATGCGTAAAGTCCTTGGTTGAAATGTTTCCATGGAGATATTATCGTGACTGGCCTATTTCCAACCGCGAGAGCATGAGCACTCAATGATGATAAATATTTGCTAATTACAGTATAACGCTGTCTATGACTGTAAAAGTTATATCTAGTAATTACCGCAGCATCACTCTTGATCTCAAACGTCATCAAATGTCATGTTCGACGATCGTTGAAACGTCCTCTCGATATCTGTTGAATGGCGGGTGCACTTTTGCGCGATTTTTCAATCAAAGACAATATTCCGACGGTGGCGCAAACCGGAAAAACCATCGAGAAAAGTGCGCCGATGGTTTTTTTGCACAATCCGTGCGGCAATGCATATTCCTTTGCTACTTTCATCGTCCACGCTTCTGCACTATTTCCGCGATGTTTATCCGTCTGTCTATTTTCGACGACGTAACTTACACCTTATATCGAGATTTGCGATGCGTACGCACGCACGCACGCACGCACGCACGCACGCACTGTTTTTCTAGCAATCCGTCACATGTACGTGCATAATATGCGTTCCGTTGCGATACAGGCGATTACCGCGCAAGCGCGACCGGAGTCGTCGTCGAAAACGGCGAACGTACGGTCGCTCGCCGTTCAGTCGAGCACCGACGTCGTCGACGATGACGTCGTCTCCTCCCTTGTGTGCGAAGGACGCCACCCTGGTCTTGTCATCGCGCATCGTGCTGCCATGTGATCATTTCGCCGTTCGAGAGCGCGCCTGATCATGAACGATTTATGACGGCACGCGCGCGCGCGCGCCAGGAAGATACCGAAGTCATTGATTATTATTATTAAAATTTACTTTTCTCTCATGTATTGGGACGGACATAATATTTTTCGCGATAATTACGAAGCGCGTTGAATCTTTGCGGACGCGGTAATCGAGAGACGTTTCGAGGGGAGGGGGGGTGGTGGTATGAGAAATGGCGGGGCATGTTCGTGGATGTAGCCACGTGCGAGCAGCCGATGCCAAAAGGAACAATAGACTTTTCCTGCGATCCTTAACGACGCGGTGTTGAAGTTAAAACTAACTAACTAATTAACCAACTAACTAAGCAAGTGCTTGGCACATACGGAGCATGTAAGACAATGCGGTGGTGTGGTGGTCCTTGCGATCTCCTGCGGCGTAAGATATTCGTCCTCTTCGTTCTGATCGGCTGCAGCGATGGCTACTTTAATATATTCATCAGCCATTCTCAAGTCATGAAGCTTTTAGGTATGTAGGACTGCTACTCAATGTTGACACAAAGGAAATATGATGTATGGAAATATGACAATGTAAATATGCTTTTTAATTAATTAAGGGGAAACTACATAAATGGTATTCACGCAAGATGAAAATCAAGTATGTAAAACAAATCGACTTGACTACATAAATTTATATAAAATGAAAACATATTTGAATTTACGTACGTAAAAAAAAAAGTGTCTATACATAATTTATAGTACAATTTATTTGTATATTTTTCAATATTTCTATACATGTATTTCTTGTTTGTCCTAACATAGATTTAACAATATATTTAATAGTCTTAATATTAAAATTGAAATATCATTTGAAACTCTGAATATAATCAGGAATTTTATGCATTTTTGTTTGAATATATAATCTCATATTTCGCATAAAAATCTATTGAGACGTCATTTAATTTTATACATTTTTCAGTACGGCGCAATTAATTAATACGAAAATAATTTTGAAGAAAAATGCGTAAATATACAAACAGAAATTTAAAATCTATTACAAGCTAATTCGCTAACATTGAGATCAACTTACTCATTCAACATTAATTATAGAATAAATTTAATTATGCTGGATTTATTAATAGGATATCTATCTATTTCTTTTTGCAAATAATCTTTTCCTTATGTAATCCTAACTCCACACGAGTATTAGTTGCAAAAGCGTTAAAATGCTCGTCTTCTCCTGCTCCGCATTACTTTTTCCATTCAATCTAAACTCTCGCGTACATTTTTGCATAACGATAAACATGAAAATTTCCTCTCCCACGACTCGTTAACAGGTCCCGTTACAATTGCGCGTCTGGCGCGGTATTTTCTGAAAGTAAACGAAAGCTGGCGAACATGCGGAAAAAGAGTTGACGAAGAAAATTTGCGAAACCGGACAATTATTACTGTTGCGTGGGTGATTGTGCGTAAACTCGCAATCCACGATAAAAAAGATTTTATTTGTAACATAAAAAAACACGAAAATTGATGCAGTGTAATTAAGAGAAAAATATCGTTTTAACATAATGGTTAAGCGTTAGGTATGTATATTTCTTAAAATTAGTATATACTAATAATATATACTTCTATACAATTAGTATCTGATTTTTTTAAACTTTGATACAGTTGTAAATAAAATATTGACTTATTACAAAAGTTTAGAATTGTTGATCTCGTAATAGATTCTGAAGTTGTAGAAGTTCTAGAAGTAAATGAAAAATTAATTTTACATTACTTTTGTTATACAAAAATTGAATTCTCTCACTTAGATCTTAATTAATTAAAAATAAAACTCGATAATATTTTTTTTATTTTGAAACAAATAAAGGAGCTCTATAACAAAATGCATAAATGTGTAACATAAACATAAATGTGATGTTAATTAGCATCGGAATATTTTCTTTTTGCTTTTATGTTTATAATTGCGAGCCAAGTTATGATTGCGTTATCCCTCCCTTGTACCTTATCTAATTCTGTCTCTTTAGCATTTGTTTCGTTCTGCATCCCCAATGTACAATTAACGCGATTGTAACATGTCGCTGGGGAAAAACTCTCTCGTAAGACTTACCGGAGTACGGTTTTAACGAACGCGGATAGAAACTTGCGATGGTGTGCGGTACGGAGGGAGGGGATTGGCATTACTTTGTGGCATCGCGAGCGGTGGCGAAATCGCGAAACGGCCAGCGAAAGAGCGAATTTAGCGTCGGGGCCGCTTATGACGAGCGTGCGAGAGTGTCATTTCAGCAATTTGCGAGCCACGAGCCACTCGTTTTAATGGTCACCGGCCATATACTGGGCCGCGATATACCGTGCTCACGTGCACCTAGAGTGAAAGTCTCCGTTCCATTTGATATCACTTTACCTATGATTCATATCCCGCGCGATGGCACCACACCACCGCGGCGTTCTCCACTCGATGTCGGTCGCTCGGTTGGCTCGGACGCGGAGGGCGCGATGAGGACGGACGGAAGGACGGTCGGTCGGTCGGTCGAGCGGATCGGTGGGAGGGCCAGAAGAGAAAAAAGTGGAATCACCGTATTTACGAGCAGCCGGCGGCTCGTGACTCTTCGAAAATCGAGGCAATCCCGGCGGTCGCGACACTCCGAATGGCAGAACGATCCGATCACGTTCCGCTGGATGGGTGTGCTGCAGCGGTGTAGCTTGCGCCGCGGCACTTTCACGTACATTTCACGTTAATCGCAAAATATGGCGCATCGGCGAATGTGCGAAAAAAGGGTGGAAAAAGAAACGCGTAAAAACGAAAAATTCGCGCGCAAACTGAAAGCGTGGGTCAGCGAGGCTCATTTTTTTCCCATTTTTTTTTCTCTCGGTATCCGACGTAGTTTATTTCGTGACAGATAATTGCGCATTTATCCGTTGGAATTAAGAGTACAAGACGAGCGATGCAATATTGAAGTGCGGCAAGTAGATATGAAATATTTAAGGTACATTGAAGTCTTAATATACCAACAGACTGGATAGTTCAGTCTCTCCTGGTTGGTAACTTCGGCTCATCTTCGATGAAATATATAATTAAATTTCGCCAAAATTATGCGAGCAGTGTGAGCTTGTACCCGAGATAAACTAAGAAGAGATAGAGCGGATGAAAGGGATAATAGAGATAAGAGGGATGATAATTACTTAGATTAGAGACAAGTAGTGTTGACTATATTAATTTATATGAAGTTTAATATTATACAAGAGTAATCTAAAATGTCCTCTATTCATTTTAATGATGATTTTAATGATATATTCTATCGAACATGAGATAAGATAATTTTCTTTCAAAGAAATTTATATAATTTATCATTTCTCTCTTTCATTTTTCAAAAATAATTTATTTTTTAAAAGCTAAAAAGCTAAAAAGTCTCTCTAATTATAATATAATATTTAATTTTATTTAAACAATTTTTTATTCTAAACTCTTATTACCGATTCATATAATTGTACTACTGGTTATAAAGACGAAATAAGATTTTGATGATGGTTGCTTAAAATTAATTATTCCATTGCACGTTATTTGTGTTACAATGACCATAACGCAAATGTAGCAAAAAGGATGGTGGCTTCGTTTCTTAAACGGGTCTATTTTTCCAGTGTCCCGAGCGGCCGCGAATTTCTAGATACAGGGTAATCTTCGTCACATTTCGGATTCCGCTGCTCGGGGTGAAGGGCGGGAGAACGACGGGAAAGTGAAAGGGTTGCTCCTGAGAGAAGGTAAGCGGTGGGGCAAGTTTCGTCGCCGGGGCTCTCGAAAGTCACTTAACTTAGATTGCACGAGCGAAATGACTTTACTTCCCCGGAAAACTTCGTTCCGTTGGAAAGGCATCTCCTCTCTGCAAGCACCAAAAAAGGAAGAAAGGGAGGAAAAAAAAAGGAACGGAGAATAAGGAGGGGATAAAAAAAAGGAAAACTGACAGAGATAGAGAGAAAGAAAGGCAACGTGTGTACGCGAGGAAGGTGGTTCAAGGGGGTGGAGAGACGGGGAGTGAAGGAGAGAAAGTACTCAGTGCTCCCTCCCTGCGAGGACGAAGATACGAGTCGACTATTACCTGACACCTCCGTGCGGATTCAGCATTTACTTCCGCCGTCGAGTTCGGAACGTTTACACGGGGTTTGCTCTGATTGGGCAGGGGATTTCTCACCGTGTGATGAAAAGGCGCGGGATGAGCTTGCGCTTTGAAGTAATATCCTTATTTCTCGAATGGAGTTGTCTCTCGGCAACCTGGATTTACTACCGAAATTGCTTCGCGCTAGTCAACTGCTCTCACAGCTTCAACGGTGTAGAGTATCGAGTTTTACTCCTCGACAAAGTTATCTGGAGGCAATATAATCCTACGCAAATAGCATGCGTATGTTCCTGTGCCTTTTGCTCTTTTTACATCAATGACAAGTCCAATTTACTTGGTTTATTTTTTAACAAGGAAAATTAAATAAGTAGTAAATTGAAAGACAACATTGATTGCGAGTAATAGCAAGGGATATATGTTTTACGTAAAAATACAGGATAAATCGAACTTTATTAGACTTAAATTGGAAATATTAACAAATTTTATAGCAGATATATTGGATCAAATTGCAGATATTCGTACATCATTGTCTGCTTGTGTAGATTTCGAGAGCCGTACGTTGCGCGCAATAAGTAGGGACTTTGGTCCAGGTCCTAGAATTGATTTTTAATTTATGACACACACACACACACACACACACACACACACACACCACACGCGCGCGCG